TGAAGGCACACAATTGCGGATTGGTAGAGAAAGTAAGTGTAAACCGTGGCATGACAAAACTGCGCTGGTCAAAATCGCGGTGATAAAATCGCGGCGCTAAAGCCGCGATGTCATCACCATGCATTATCACCGCGGCGACAACAGCGCGGCAACAGAAGGGCGCTTTAAAACTTTCAATTAAGGTAAGAGTTAGGATTAGGTTTAGGGGTTTGTTTTAGGGTTAGGTTTAGGGTTAGGGTTAGATTTAGGGTACTGAGTGCTTGGGAATGCGCGAATTTGCCCTCCACGATTATGTCATCGCGGTAGGGTCGCGTTTTTCCTTAGTGCTTAAAATGGTGTGAATTAGTCTTCGCGCTTATGTCTCCGCGGATAAGGGCTTCGCGGATTTGTGGTGGAACCAGTGAAAACCACCCCTGTATCCTATCCAGTGGTGGGTTGCCAATTTTGTTACTACTAGTTCAGGCGCGCGCTCTCAACACTTCTGCCCATGCCTCCCGCCGCCGCTACTACCAGTTCGGCTAATCTGGGCCGAACCGGCAGCAACGCATCTCTGATCCTATCCTATCCTATCCCATCCCATCCTTAGCACTAGCCCATAACGTAAAAGAGAACAAACGAGTACAGTGCTGTGATCCAAATCCTAATACAGCTTCCCAATTTCATGGCTGCAATTAACGCTTTAGCATTGCTACTCAAAAAGTACAGCCAGTTGGTCTAGTGGTTAAGGCACCAGGCTAGAAAGTGGGGGACATAGATTTTTAAATTAAGTTCTGCCTTAGCCATGAAAGCCAGCTGGGTGAGTTGCGCCAGTCATTCTCTTTCAGTCTAACGCACCTCACTGGGTTATTGTGGGGAAAATACGAACACGAAGGCGTGTTGACATGTTCACCACCTTGAGTTATTTGTAAAATAATAAAGATGGAATGCAAACAAACAAAAAATAAAAATAGTAGTTTCAGCTTGAAAAAAAAATTTTTTTTTTGCTCAGGTGACAAACTGAAATAAAAACAATCAGTTTTAAAGCTGTGTTTGAATTCAACTATTAATTTCTAATTTCAATCCAAGGCACTAATTAAGTATGAAGATCACAGAGGGATGATTTCAGCATTTTAATATTTAGGCATAATCTTAACTGTTGCAGCAAAATCCCACAAGTTTGCACCATAAACCCATATGTAACTTTTCAGACCAAAAAAAATATATCCAGGTGTTCAGGATACATTCAGATGTATCCTGATGTATATAAATACAAGTACATTCAGGGTCCAATACTTGTAAATATAAATGCATTTAATACTATAGCCATACTGAGTGTCTTTCGTCATCTCTTTAGAAAAAAGACATATCAATTTGCAACGGAGCTTAACTCGTGGAGAAGAGAGTATTAGATAACAGTATTCATGTGCCTGCCTTTAGCACAGAAATAAAACTTTTAATCAGTTGGGTATCTGTTTCTTTTAAGCACTTATAGATAAGTCCGACTCTTCATTTATTTATGCACCAAATTGTTAGGGGTTTCAATAAACACCCCCAACCCATTTGCAGGCTACGTTTGCTACCCTTTCTTGCAGCAGCTATAAAAAGTGATTGAGAAGTCTCTGTATCAAATGCATGAAGTGACTAAATTAATTATGTGGACATTTATTTTACAATTTTTTACTTAATATAAGGTAAAGATAAAGGTTCCCCCGCACATGTGTGCTAGTCGTTCCCGACTCTAGGGGGCGATGCTCATGTCCATTTCAAAGCCGAAGAGCCAGCGATGTCCGAAGACAGCTCCGTGGTCATGTGGCCGGCATGACTAAACGCCGAAGGTGCACGGAACGCTGTTATCTTCCCACCAAAGGTGGTTCCTATTTTTCTACTTGCATTTTTGCATACTTTTGAACTGCTAGGTTGTCAGAAGCTGGGACAAGTAACAGGAGCTCACTCCGTTACGCGGCGCTAGGGCAGTGTTTTTCAACCACTGTGCCGCGGCACACTAGTGTGCCG